TTTTTTTTTTTTTTGGTTTACTTAGGCTCTATAATAACTTCGACTATTGCCGAAGGGAAACAAAACATAAACGACTTTGGATTTAATATTCCCTTTAAATACCTTTTAATTTTGCAAAACCTGGTCTTGTTGATTCGCAAGTGGTGTGTTGTATGATAGGAGTTAAGTGTGCAACATTTTTTATTCCTATTACCTTAACGGAATAATAGAAGACTTTGGCAGATTATCCCCAGTGACAATAATGTCGATACTGGTTCATGAAGGAGCTTAATTCTGTGGGGTAAAAAAATCTTAGCAATTAACCTTGTTCTTCAAGTCTTGCTGAATTGGGACTACGTACTCCATTGTGTAAAAATTGTGGGGTTTGCCTTCTATTTCTCCGAAAAATTCCCCTGCGGCGACCCTATCTTTACGTAAGGTACCATAACTTGAGCTGAATATTTTCCTCTCCGAGATTTTCTCCGACAATTGTTCCTCCGCGCAGCCAACGTTATTTCTCAGGTCCATCGATTTTTTGTTTTTACCATATTCCTTAAAGACATACACAAGGTTAGTAGGAGAGGAAATCCATGGGGAGTAGTGCACGAAAAAGCTTAGAAAACCGTCCCTGGCGTTTATTGCATAGAGACACATCTCTTTCCGTACAACGGAGCAAATATCACAGAAGCGGTACTCATCTATGTTAGTATCCTTGCGATTCCTCTCACCTATCACAGAATGTTATTCTAACACTACTAGAGATAGAAATTTAAGCAGAACCGCCTTATTTTCAGAACGAATTTTTCGCCAGCTTAGTTTGCTCGAGGAAGGGGGGTGGGCGTGAATTTTTTTTTTCTTGTGTCATCCACTACTCTCCCTCCTGAGTATGGGAGGAGAAGATTATTCGAGTAGAACGGAGATTTTTTTTTTTTGGCTTAATACGTGCCTATTCATTGTCGATATTTCAATGAGAAGAACTGTACTGTTCGGGGGAATATTTAGAAGGAATTGGTTTCGATGGACATTAGTGGCTTCTTTGTTACCTCATATTTTTCGTTCTCATTGCAGCGCCCTTCCTCACCCGCGGGCGCTTTTATCCCGCCCCGGCTTTTATTGTCCGTTCCATTGTATTCAATAACTTAAATGCAACAGAAAATGATTACAGGATTCTTCTCTCATAGAAATATAAGCAAACTTCAAATGGAACTGAGAAAAAAAATTTCCTTTCTATTGGAATTTTACTTTACAAATGACTTTGGCAAAACAGGCACGCGATTGTTGTCGTGTTCGTCGAGTAAAGTGTGACGGCGAAAAGCCATGTAATCGTTGTCTGCAGCATGATTTGAAATGTACTTATTTACAACCTTTGAGAAAAAGAGGGCCCAAAAATATTAGATCGAGAAGTTTAAAGAAAATTGCCGAAACGCAAACGTTCAGTGAGAACAACAACTGTATGACAGCTTTAGAAATATCTATAGGAATCATTATATCTTACATGTTATTCTGTTCTGTTGTAGTAACTAATTTCAGAGATCTTTTCGGATGCTACTACCCCTGTTTATAACGTGTAACTTTAATCTTGAAATTTCGTTTTTGCCCCACAATTTTTCCGTAGCCTTTCTCGCGAGAATTAATCCGCCGTACAATAATTCGATCTTACTTGTATTTTCTCCCATGAGCATGCAGACTAGTAGGTAGGAAAGTAGAACTACTTAGAAACATTCTCCTTAAGTGTTTTCACCACTAAGCATTTTATATTTAATTGTTAAAAAATATATACTATTGAAGAACCACTTTCCTGAAATATCAAGAACAAAAAAGTCTGCACTATGGTCCCGCAATTGATGCATTTGAGAATTCTATTAACTCAATAGTAATATGCATTGTTCTTATCTAAAAAATTGCAGGTACCTGCAGACTAATCCGGGTCATGATCTGCGCTGCGCCCGTCATCCCACCCCGTGCTGCCTGCCACTTGAAGCTACCCGGGTTTAATAATTCGTTCTTTAAGTTCTCCAACTTAAATACAGGCAACTAAAAAACTGGGTTCGAGAGTTTTCCACTTTATAGACAAAAATAAAAATACTGCCAGAAAATTTATCATATAATAATATGGGTATTGCGAAACAGTCTTGCGACTGCTGTCGCGTTCGTCGAGTAAAGTGTGACAGGAATAAACCATGTAATCGCTGCACTCAGCGCAATTTGAACTGCACTTATCTTCAACCGTTGAAAAAGAGAGGTCCAAAATCCATTAGAGCAGGAAGCTTAAAAAAAATAGCGGAAGTGCAGATGGTGAGTATGAATAATAATATTATGACCGCTCCGGTGGTATGTAAGAAGGTTCCGAAAAACCTGATTGATCAATGCTTGAGGTTGTATCATGATAACTTATATGTAATTTGGCCAATGCTTTCCTACGATGATCTTCACAAGCTTCTAGAAGAGAAATACGATGACTGTTGCGCCTACTGGTTTCTGGTATCCCTTTCGGCAGCTACTCTTAGCGACTTGCAAATTGAAATAGAGTATGAGGAAGGAGTCACTTTTACTGGAGAGCAGTTATGCACTCTTTGCATGTTATCTCGGCAATTCTTTGACGACCTTAGTAACAGCGACATAATTCGAATCATGACATACTATTGTTTGCACCGTTGTTACGCGCAGTTTGCGGATACGAGAACTTCATATAGACTTTCTTGTGAAGCCGTGGGCCTCATCAAGATAGCTGGATTCCATCGGGAAGAAACCTATGAATTCCTTCCCTTCGGTGAACAACAACTCAGAAGGAAAGTTTACTATTTACTTCTTATGACAGAGAG